AGCACGTGGTCTTCGGCCAGGTGAAAGATGGCATGGATATTGTGACAACCATGGAGAGCTTTGGGTCCAGGAATGGCAAGACCAGCAAAAAGGTCACCATTGCTGACTGTGGACAACTCTCATAAATTTGACTTGTGTTTTATCTTAACTACCAGACCATTCCTTCTGTAGCTCAGGAGAGCCACCCCTTCGCCCCCATCTGCTTGGAATGTCTATAATATTCATGCTCTTGCCGCAGTTCGTTGAGTTCCATATTTTCTTTACTCTTTCCAAGTCTAGCTGGATTGCAGAGTTAAGTTTATGATTATGAAATAAAAACTAAACAATTGTCTGTCTTTGTTTGGGTTTCATTTTAAGCAGCAACAGATTACTAAAGCAACCATGCTGTTTGGTTAATTCCACAGGGCACTTAACTTTTTCTGCTTTCCTAACCTAAGGATTAAATCTCACTATCTCACCCAGGTAAGCTGTGAGTGGAATACTGGAGCGGTAGGCAGGGGCAGGAAAAGGTTGGGAGCAATGATCCTTTAAGGAAGTTGTCACTTGATACATTCAAAGGTGTGTTATCAAAAAGAGTGCTGTAACAAATCGAAAGGCATGGTTTGTTTTAAATAATGGTGTAGGAACTATTCGTTTTGAAGATGTAGGTGAAGAATAAATGGTGTGTTATAAAGCTTAATATATGAATTAACAACATCGAGTCTGATAAGAAAAGTCAGGTACCTGGAGTGGTGTAACCTGCGGAGGTAGAGGCTGCAGCTAGGCTCTCCGGGGACACCCATAGGAAATTCTCAAGCTGTGTGGTGGTCTGCCCATTTAGTTCTTTCAGAACCAAGTCTACATTCTATACAGTCCCTCCTTACATATGGTGCACTGCTGCATGGGGTTGAGCAGTCCACTGTCCAGCACTCCTGTGAGTGCTCAGTACATGGTATATTAGTTTTTGTTGCGAGTGTGAACCCCTGGGTTTTTGTCCAGTGTGTTCAGTGAATCCTAGTACATGGCCCACGGGAGGCTCAAATACTGAACTGTGTGAAACTTGAACATGCACCCTGTTGACTCTTCCAGAATTAGGAACTTTTTTGTTGTGAATCACACATGCTAAAAGCATATCGTATGAGTATCTACTCAGGGGTTTCAAGTTATCCCCAATTTAATGACTAAACATCTATTTCTGTAGGTCAAGGATCTGAGTACAGCTTGACAGCCCTCTGCCATCAAGGTGTTGGCCTGTGCCATGATCGCCTTGGCTCCACAGGGAAGGGTCAGCTTTGTAGCAGACACTTACTTGGGAGGTAACACAGGACTGTTCTCTTGCTCAAGGGCTCACCAACCAGATGAGTCCGTCTTACAACCTGACAGGAATAACATCACGTCTGCCCTGTCCAGGTAGCTCAGTTGGTTAGAGCGTCATCTCTTTGCAAAGGTTGCAGATTCAATCCCAGTCAGGGCACAAGAATCAACCAGTAAATGAGTGGAACAACAAAGTGATAGTTCTCTAAAAGTCAAAAAGGATATGACCCTGGAGACAGTCAAACAACTATGGTATAGCCCTGGCCGGTTTGGCTCAGCGGTTAGAGCGTCAGCCTGCGGTCCGGAGAGACCTGGGTTCGGTTCCCGCTAAGGGCATGTACCTTGGTTGCAGTTTGTCCCCAGCCCTGGTTGGGTCGTGTGGGTGGCAGCCACTCGATGTGTCGCTTTCACGTTGATGCTTCTCTCTCTCTCCATCTGAACAAAATATCAAAAGATGTCCTCGGGTGAGGATAAAAAAAAACAACTACTACAGTATCAAAAGGAAACATGTTTGAACCAATTATCTAGAAAACTCAAGTAAAAGAACCCTATTCTCTGTTGATTATTTGCTTTTTCTTTTAGCCTTACCCGAGGACATTTTTCCATTTTTTGTTCAGAGAGAGGGAGAGAGAAACATCCACGTGAAAAGGACACATCGAGTGGCTGCCACCCGCACAACCCAACCAGGGCCGGTGACAAACTGCAACCAAGATACATGCCCTTAGCGGGAACTGAACCCAGGTCTCTGGACCGCAGGCCAATGCTCTAACCACTGAGGAAAACTGGCCAGGTCAATTATTGCCATTTCTATCACTACTTCGGATTCCAAAAACTATTAAAAGTTCACATACGGATAACCGGGTCCTCCCAGTATAGAAACTTGTCCAAATATGCGCGGAGATATTCCCATTAGAAGGAACATTTCTCACTGGCCGATATGGCTCAGTGGCTAGGACATCAGCCCTTGGATGGAAGGGGTCACGGGTTTGATTACAAATCAAGGGCATGTACCTGGGTTGCAGGTTCAATCCTGTTGGGGTGCCATGGGAAGCAACCAATCGATGTCTCCCTGTCCCTCCCTCCCACTCTGTAAAAATCAATGGAAAAATACCCTCGGGTGACAAAGTCTTTTTGTCCTGCCTTATAAATTCAAGAGCAGAAGGGATGACAGGATATCACCCATTGGCCACCCTCAATAGGTCCTGGATCTGGGCAGTAACTGATGAGGGAAGAGAACTTGATGGATAGAACAGGCTGACAATACCCAACCCACCATCAATCAGTCTTCATGTTACAAGATGAGGCAGGAATTAGGTGTTGGATCCAATAGAAGTACATGGTTTCTCCTATGAATTTCTTGTGTGAAAAAGCAAAATGTGCCCTAGCCAGGCTTGGTTAGAACATCATCCCATACGCCAAAAGGCTGTGGTCAGGGTACATAAGCCTAGGTTGCAGGTTTGATCCCTGGTCTGCACATAACAGAGGCAACTGGTTGGTATTTCTCACACTAATGTTTCTTTCTCTTCCTCTCAAATGAATAAAAACATGTCGGGGGGGGGGGGGGGGAATGCAACAAAAAGGCCCTCTAGAGCTGTTTATAGAAAATACAAGGAACAGAAAGAAAAAAAATACCATTAGGATGTATTCAGTAAAATCTATAGTTAGATATAATTCTATATAGGACAGCTGTTTCTTCAAAAATAAAATTGTAAGAAAAAAAGTGAGAAATCTATAGATTAAAAAGAAACGAGCCCTGGCCGGTTTGGCTCAGCGGTTGGAGCGTCGGCCTGTGGTACAGAGAGACCCGGGTTCGGTTCCCGCTAAGGGTATGTACCTTGGTTGCAGTTTGTCCCTGGCCCTGGTTGGTCGTGCGGGTGGCAGCCACTCAATGTGTCCCTTCACATCGATGTTTGTCCCCCTCCCTCCCGCACTATCTGAACAAAAAATGGGAAAATGTCCTCGGGTGAGGATAAAAAAAAGAAAAAACGCCAGTGTGGCTCAGTAGATGGAGAGTGGATTGAGAGGTCCTGGTTAGATTCCCAGTCAGGGCACATGCCTGGGTTGTGGGCTTGATCCCCAGTAGGGGGCGTGCAGGAGGCAGCAGATCAATGTTTCTCTCTGAAAAATCGGTAAAAAGATTTTTAAAAAGGAAATGAGATTATCAGGAAAATATAAGATACAAATCTTATCTGGATTCTGGTTCAAACTATAAAGTTATGAGACAATCGGAAATTTGCATACTAATGTGATATTTGATATTATGAAATACGCTAGTTAATGATATTAGGTTATAGTCTAAAAAGTACCCGGTTTTTAGAGACATGCTGAAGTATGCAGAAATGAAAATAAATCAGCCTGAAATGGGGTTCAAAAAGGTCCACTGGGAGGCAGACTGGGGGGTAGGGGGTACAAGTAAAACTATACTGACCTCAGGATAATGGTTAGGATTGCAGGATGAGTAAATGCACAGGTATTCATTACACTATTCTCTTTATTTCTGAAAATTTCCATAAGTTTTTTTTAAATGAGTTTTGTTTTGATAGTGTTACATTATAAAACATTAAAATTTTTCTCTTTGTAATGAGGACTTCCAGGCAGAAAAATATTGTCTGACGTACCACTATCTGACACATTATACAAGTTACTTAGAAATTGACAAAAATAATTTTTAAAATATTGTACAAATTACTGAATATTACTGTATCAATAAAAAACGACTAAGAGTTTGAATTTTAAGCCAAAAGCATAAAACTGATAAAAATTTAACTTCAAATCTAGGTAAGAGTGTGGACTCTGAAGTCAGGCATATCTAGGTTTGTTTCCCAGATCCACCATCTTCTATCTACTTAATGTTTTCTGGGAAACTATTTAATTACCAGGTTCCACATGTTTAAAGTGGGGGGTAATAAAATTTCTGGGTCAGTAAAGCACTTAGCACAGGGCCTGCCATACAGTAAATGCTCAGTAAATTGAATGGTCCCACTATCCTAATTTCAACAATTCTATTTTTATTATTTTTTTTAATCCTCACCCAAGGACATATTTTTTCTATTTATCTTCAGAGTGGAAGGGAGGGAAGGAAACATCGATGTCTTACATCGACTGGTTGCCTCCCGCTGCACCCCAACCAGGGTTGGGGACCAAACGGCAACCGAGGTATGTACCCTTGACCAGAATTGAACCTGCGGGCAGACACTCTAACCACTGAGAAACTGGCCAGGGCTTATTTCAACAATTCTAAGGGTATGTTTCATCTTCTAAAATCTCTAAAATTGGGATGCATTTAATTATCAATGGCATATCATGGTTAATGGGCAGTTTTTCTTTCTTTAGTAGTATGTAAAGTAACTGCATACTAGAAATGGATAGCATCTAAGATTAATTATGAGTATCAATCATGGAAAAGCTATATTCCCAAATTGTATTTTAAGATTATTCTGAATATACAACCAATTTGAAATACTAAAAATTTCAAAGTTTGAGCAAAATATTTCCAACCATCATAAACAGAACAGTTTTGAGACACATTATTTTTGTAAAAAATGGTTTATCGATTCCATTTTTGTATAAAACACATGGGAGAAATCCAGCCAATCAACACACAACTGTTGCCACGTGAAAAGGTACTTTTATCAAACTTAGAGTCTAAGAACATACAAATGTTTCTCTTACCATGTCTACAGTAATTGTCTATGCTTTTCCATTTAACTGTTTTTAAAATTCCACATATCCCCATTATTTCTTCTGTCCTAGTTACAGTACAATGACAGGGGGAAAGAGGGCTGGTTAAAATAACTCTCTAAGCAGTTTTCTGCTGCCCCTTCTTTCCAATCAGAGACTTGTGGATGTGAGGGATCACACCTAGAATGAAATTAAAAGAAACATATTAAAGAACGTTAGGTGGCTGTATCTGACAACTTCAGAGCCTCAAACCAAAAAGAGCAATTATACAAAGAATGAAATTTACTTAAGTCCCCTCTCACGTCTGATCCAGTTTAAGTATCTATACCAAGGGAGGGGGCCCACCTCAGGGTCTGGGAACCCCTTTAAGATTGCAAAATGATGTGATTTTATGTGCTTCTTGGAAGAGTAAACACAGTTTTCAAGAGGTTCTCCAAAGGTGACCCAAAAAAGGTTAAGGGACACCAATTTACATCTCACCTGCACTGATCCTGACTCATCTGATCATGCTCTGATTTCCAAGGGCATCATGTTAAGCAATTTCTCAAGATCATTTTCCAAATAGTTTAACAAGCATGGGAAATATTTTAAACACCAGATTTTAAGTATCATATGAAATTTAGATAAAGGACTTGCAGCCTTGCATATGGAGAAATATTTCTTAAGGTGATAATGAAAAGAAGCCTAGAATTGTAACAAAATTTAACATAGAATTTAAGTTTATAAGTGTTCTAGCTAGTTGATGAAATGCACTGGATCACTGATCTGAATTATAGTTAGAAAGGCCAACAACACTCTAGGCTGAAGAGCTCAGATACATACCACCCCCCGCTATGGTAGCCTTGATAAGAGAATCCAACTCTTCATCACCACGGATTGCAAGCTGCAAGTGGCGTGGAGTGATCCGCTTCACTTTGAGATCCTTGGAAGCATTACCTGCCAGCTCCAGCACCTACACAGTACCCATGAGACAGCACATCAAAGGGTGAAGTGTTTAAGGATTTGGTGTAATGTTCACAATTATAGCTAAAAAGATCACTATAGCATCTGTACATAAAACACAAAATATGTAAAAACCAACAGTACATTTTTCTTTTCCATATTTTTAAAGTATGTTTTATTGATTTTTTAGAGAGTCAGGGAGAGGGAGAGATAGAAACATCCATGAGAGAGACATCTATCAGCTGCCTCCTGCACGCCCCCTACTGGGGATCAAGTCGACAACCTGGGCATGTGCCTTGACTGGGAATCGAACCAGTGACCACTTGGTGCATGGGTCTACACTCAACCACTGAGCCACACCAGCCGGACTCTTTTTCATTTTTTAAAAATGAATTCTGGGATATTTATTAATGCTCCTCCGACAATGGATTTGGCATTGAACAGGAATATAAACATATGAACAAGTCCCACCCAATGTATTTCAAAACAATCATATCCTTGAGAACAGAGATTCTGTTTTTCATAAGTACCCCTGCCATTCATGGAAGAGAGAGATCATAGAAATGTTCAAACGTTCCAAAGTTCATTCTTTTTTCATATTCTTAGAATACTTTTATAGAGCTCTCATTACTTCACTTGGCCTGTTAATATTCATTTTCTGCAAGAGCGGTAGAAACTTGAGCAAAAAGTTACTTCTATAGAAAGTAAAGCCAAGGGACAATATTATTCCTCAGCCAAGATTCTAAATGTGGACATGTAGAAAAATCATAAATTTTAACATATCCATATTGTCTACTTTGGTATAGTGCTTAATGGCTGCAATTTACTTCTTAGCACTTGTAAAAAAGATTAAAATTTTTTTTTTTTTGTTCAGAGTTTTTAGCATCACTGGGCCCTATAATCTATATGTAATAAGCTAGAAGACCTTTATTCTACAATAGACATTTTTTCTTTTTTTTTTTTTTAATCCTCACCGGAGGACATTTATCCATTTTTTGTTCAGAGTGGGAGGGAGAGAGAGGAAGAGAGACAAACATCGATGTGAAAGGGGCACATCGAATGGCTGCCACCCGCATGACCCAACCAGGGCCGGGACAAACTGCAATCAAGGTACATGCGCCTAGTGGAAACCGAACCTGGGTCTCTCTGGACCACAGGCCGACGCTCTAACCGCTGAGCCAAACCAGCCAGGGCTACAATGGACATTTTCAACTAGAAGAATTTCAAAGTCCCAGCTAGCTAGAGAAATGTACTTTGTTAGTTTGTTTTGCCTCCACAGACTACACTGGCATTATAAATCCTTATAGAATAGAGTACAAAAGAAACTCCACAGAACCTCTGCATTTAGGGTGGCAGGAAGCCTTGGTGTACATCTGAAGTGACTGGCATGCTTTAAAATCCACCAGAACCCCACCTTCTTCTCCCCCTGGGACTCCAACTGGCCTGGCACCCGAAGTGATCCCAGCAGGAAGCCAAGGTTGAAAGTGATTACCTCTACTAATGACTACATTATTTTCTATGCGTGTACTAATGATGAAAATCCCAAATTTATATATCTGAAAGTATGTTGACTGCTTATATAGGTTTACTATCTAATCTTAACCTAATTAATTGTAATCAAAGTTTCCAAGAATAAAGAAAATGGGAGTTCAGATGGGACCTGAACATTCTGAGCCAGAAGATGCTCTAGTAGTGAACAAAACAGGTACTTTTCTGAAAAGTTTGCAGCTAAACAAAAACTGGTATAAGACTGATAAGGAAGGGGAAGATAGGTTCTCAACTAGTACCATATTGCCAAAACAAAACCCGGTTCACAACATAGCAAAGCTGAAACTACCAGTAAGCCAATCTCTTCTATTTATTTATTGATTCACAACCCCCATCTAAATTTTTTCCTGAGGGCAATGGAAAGCCTTTGGAGACTTTTTTTTTTTTTAAGAGGAAGAGAAAGGGAGAGGGAGAAAGAGAAACATGGATGTGAGGGTGGAAAATCCATAGGCTGCCTCCTGCACACTCCCTGCTGGGGAGTGAGCCTGAAACCTGGGCATGTGCCCTGATGCAGAATCCAGCCAGCAACTTCTCTGTGCATGGGATGATGCCCAACCAGTGGAGCCACACTGGCCAGGGCTTGATTGGGGGGCGGAGGGGCGCAGGGGCACAGTAATTCAATATTAAATTTTCAACGGTGCCCTGGCCGGTTTGGCTCAGCGACTGGAGCGTCAGCCTGCGGACCAGAGAGTCTCGGGTTCGGTTCCTGCTAGGAGCATGTACCAAAAACAAAAAAACTCTTCAACAGGACACAAACGATCAGGTGAGGTTAATGAAATGACAGCAAAGATAATTAACATACAGGTTGAACCTAAATCTTCCTCAAGTAAAAATCTTCCTTCTGTTTCTACTAGGTTGGCTACCTCTACCACTCGACTTGCTTGGAATACAGCTTTTGGAGTTCCATGGCCACCTATGTTTTCCTTAGGAGGAGCCAGAACAGAGGAAGTGGTGGCCCATGACCCAGCAATGAAGAACTCCTGCCCAGCCATGGCTGGTGTGGCTCAGTTAGTTGGATGTCATAACATGCAATGAAAAGATGCTGGTTCAGTTCCCAGTCAGGGCACATGCCTGGGTTTCAGGGTTGATCCCGAGTAGGAGCTGAGCAGGAGGCAGGCGATTGATGTCACATCAATGTTTCTCTGTCTCCCTCTAAAAATCAATTTTTTGGGGGGAATTGACGGATGTTTATTATTGCCAAAACTCACTGAACTGTACACTTAACATGGGTGCATTTTCTTGCATGTAAATTATACTTCAAGAAAACTGAAGGTGCATGAGAGCTCTTCTCACAGCCCTGCTATCACCACAGAAGACTAATGACTTATAAATGTGTCAATTACGCAGTCACTCAGTGATCACTTCTTGTTCTTCAACTTGCTTTCTTCTGGTAATATTGAAGTTGAACATCTTTTCATACTGTTTAATCTTTATAAATTTTCTGTTAAAAAAATCAATTTTAAAAATCTTAAAAAAAAGAACTGTTGACCAAGTAACTTATCTTCCTGAGCACAATTTAGTATATTATGCATACAATCATGTATAGAACCAGAATGATTCATTAAGTTTTTAGTCAGATTTCATATTATATTTGTGATTTAAAAAAATGTATCATTTGCCCTGGCCGGTTTAGCTCAGCGGTCAGAGCGTCGGCCTGCAGACTAAAGAGTCGCGGGTTTGATCCATTGCAGTTCGTCCCTGGCCCTGGTCAGGGTTGTGCGGGAGGCAACACCCAGTGTCCCTTGATGTTTCTCTTTCTCTCCCTTTCTTCTCTTCCTCTCTCTCCATCCCACTCTATCTGAAGATAAATAGAAAAAAATAAATGAATAAAAATGTATCATCAGCCCAGACTGTGTGGCTCAGTGCTTGAGTGCTGACCCATGTACTGAGGGGTCAGCGGTTCGGTTCAGTTCCTCATCAGGGCACACGTCCAGGTTGTGGGCCTGATCCCCAGTGGGGATCATCCAGGGGGGCATCCAGGAGGCAGCCAATCAATGTTCTCTCTCATTGATGTTTCTCTCTCATTGATGTTTCTCTCTCTCTCCCTCTCCCTTCCTCTAAAAATCAATAAAAATATGTTTTAAAAAAAGAGCAACAAGTACACCAAGGTTCTCTCTGTCACTGGTACTGGGTAACAGGCTGATGAAAACACATCTAAAACTGCTATTAAAGAGACTAACAAGCAGATGTGTGTTTTTTGTTTCAAACACATTCCACAGTCCCAGCCTTTTCTAGTCTAGTATTTTTGGACTTCCATATCCAACACCCCCACACACCTCAGCAGTGAGGTACTCCAGGATTGCCGCACTGTACACGGCCGCAGTGGCACCAACCCTTCCGTGGCTTGTGGTTCGAGTCTTCAAATGTCTGTGGATGCGGCCCACGGGAAACTGAAAGAGACATCATCTGAATGGGAGGCACTGAAGAGTCTTAACATCACTCCACTGAGTGTAATCAAAGGCACATAAGCAAAGCATAAAGTTAAAACATTTGGTTGCCCATATTAGAAGCCAAACCTATTTGGCAGTTAACAGTCCCTAGGCCTGTGTGCTGTGTCCTAGTATTTAGCCCTGAATCTTCATGCCTGCTTTGACCCTCCTGAGAAGAGTAGAGTTAGAACACAAACCACCAGAGGGCTTTATGAATTAGTTTCTGCCTCATCTCGTGTCATCATAAAATGAAGAGAGACTCTGCTGTGCAGTTGTCAACTGCACATTCCATGTGGCCACATCATCATATTCTCTTCTGGTTAATTCTTTCACATAACAGCCTCATGACTCTGAAACTCCACCACCTTACTTTAAGCCCCAACTCCATCCTATCTTTCCTCAGTTTCAAGAGGGGGCCTGAGGAAAACCAACACTGTTCTCTACTGTGACTCTCTTTTTCTCATTTCCAAAATACCCCAATCCTCCTGGTCTGCACCCTTGACTATCCTCTACCACTTTTTTATGGATCTTTCTCACCCTGTTCCTGGCCTCACCATTCCAACAGCTCCAATTTCTTCCTCTCCACAGGCTCCTTTCCTTCACGTAAAACCTCCCCACATGTCTATGTCAAGTGCCACCAGTTACAGCCTAGATACCTGCTTTCCGAAGGCAAAATTTTAAAGGAAATCCTGGCCCAGCTGGTGTGGCTCAGTGGTTGAGCGTCGGACCCATGCACCAAGAGGTCGTCAGTTCGATTCCTGGTCAGGGCACATGCCCAGGTTTAGGCCTGATCCCCAGTGTTTCTATCTCTCTCTCCCTCTCCCTTCCTCTCTCTCTAAAGTCAATTAAAAAATTAAAAACACAAAAAATTAAACAAAATAAATAAAAGCAAATCCTGAAACCCTTACTTTCCTGTCACCCATTTTCTCCCAAACATTACACCATTCTTGAAGGCCAGCGGTGACATTTTAATGGCCAAACGTATCAGCCACCTCTAAATGGCATCCCTAAGGTGAAAAGGCACAACACATCTATTTTTCTGGCCGGGGGGAATGTTCATATTGCTTCCCTAAATAATTCTGAGCTCCCCAAGAGCAGGATCTATGCCTTACTCCCCAGTGCATCCTCAGTGATCAGCGTGTCATCTGACACATAGCAGGACCTCAAAAACCATTTCTTCTTGGGCTGCAGATCACAGAGCTCTAGCCCCACCTCCAAACCCCGACTGCTCCTGTGTCTTCTCAGTGCTTCTCAGGGACCCACCACGGCCCTGTGCTCCTCTCTGTGCTCCACTTGGAGATGCATTCATAGCACGAACCACCAATTTTACAGAAATGATTTTAAATTCGTAATTCTTTTGATTACCTTTCTTGGAAAAGCTGGACTCAAATCTAAAACTTTTAGAATTTTCATATGGATGTTTTGGCAAAACTTCAAAATGACCCCACACACAGTCTTAAATCTTATAAGCTGTCCTTACCACAAACTCCTGTGTCCCTTAGTTCTAAGGCTTACAGAAACCTTTGACTTTCCTCTCAACACTATACCTGCCCTCCCACTTTTTGGAAGCACACATCTGACTCCTATTCTTCTCCATCCCACTTTAATTACGTATATCACGTATATTCATCTGTCTTCATCTCCCACTTCAGATAAGTTCTAACAGAAATTGACCTGCTGAGTTAAAATATAGAATGTACCCATCAAGTTTAAGTTTCCGTCCCTCTTCCTGCAGTACCACCTAGATGTCAGCCTTTTGCTCAAAAACTTTCAATGGCTCATCACTCCCAAGAGGATAAAATCCACCAAATGTTACAGTCTGGCCTTCCAACTTTCCTGTTTACAAAGTGTCTCTTATATAGAGAGAATAATTCTTAACTAGAAAAATTTTGGTTTGTGGATTAAAGGTACAACTATTCAAATAGATGAAGTTTAAAAATACTTAGTGTTTTGGGTATATCATTAAGTCTAAAATGAAAGCTACTAGGGGAATATTCAGAGGACCAGTGGATAATTCATTATTCTACCAAGAATTCTATTTCATCCTGAAAGTTAATGCACTACTACAAAACCTTCCTCAAAAGAAAAACCACAGCACACTCATTTCAATGATACACTTTATAAAAGAATCAGGAACACAATTATAATCTAGAAATAGATTTTACAAAAGCAAAATTACTAAATTTATTTAAGACCTCTTCATAACTTGTTCTTGTTTAAAAGAGAGAATACACACTAAGATAATTGCTTTATGATTTACATTTCGAACAATTAATCTCAGTACTAAAGCTCAGCAGTATTTTTGTAATTAATAAAACATCGATGGATCATAAAATTACAACAGTAAAGAAAACAATTTATTAATAAGTTATGACATCATGGATACATTACCTGTAGCCCAGCTCTCTGGGAGCGAGACACTGCCTTAGCTTTGGCCTTCCCACTGTCCTTACCAGCTTTGCCTCCAGCCTACATGAAAAAAGGCTCCAGATGAAGATGCTATTTCAAAAATATTCAGGAAACAAAATTTTTCTAGTTTTATTTATTTATTTTTCTATGTTTTTATTGATTTTTAGAGAGAGAGGAAGGGAGAAATAGGAAACATGGATGTGAGAAACACCAATTGGCTATCTCCTGCACGCCCCCTACTGGGGATCAAGCCTGCAACCAGTGCATGTGCCCTGACCAGGAATCAAACCAGGACCTCTCAGTCTATGGGACAACGCTCCATCCACTGAGCCACACCAGCCGCAGGCTCTAGTTTTATTTTAGTGAGTTAAAAAAGATCTAGGTGATTGTCAATTTTAAGTAAATTAATAATAATGTAAATATACATACAATATACATGTTATATCACCATTTATTAATGTATATAAAATGAGGTCAAGCCTTAAATATTTAAAATAAAATAAAATTGCTAAAAATTTGAACATACTTTTCAAATTTCAGACTTAAGAATATTCATTAAGTCAACATAACTTTTATGCCAGAAATGTTTCAAATGAAATAATTTTTTTAAATGTCAACATATAATTTCCACAAAAACATTCAGAACTTAGCTCTTCTAGGAGGAAAAAAAAAATAGCCCTGGCCAGTTTGGCTCAGCGGTTAGAGCGTCAGCCCATGGACCACAGAGGCCAGGGTTTGGTTCCCGCTAAAGGCACGTACCTCGGTTGCAGTTTGTCCCCGGCCCCAGTAGGGGTGGTGTGGGTGGTGGCCACTCAATGTGTCTCTCTCTCACATTGATGTTTCTCTCTCTCTCTTCCTCCCTCTCTCCCGGAAAAAAAATGCAAAAAAAAACCACCCAATAACACAGCCGTAGTCAGTCAGTGTTCCTGGACACCAAAGAGTGGTTAAGGTTTGATCCTGGTCATCAGGGCACATATCCAGGTTGTGGTTCAATCCCTGGTCAAGACACGTGCAGGAGGCTGCCAATTAATGTTTCTCCCCCCAAAAGATGTCCCTCCCACTTCCTCTCTCTAGATACCAATTTTTAAAAAATGAGCCCTGGCCTGTGTGGCTCAGTGGTTGGGGCATTGGCCCGAGCACTGAAGGGTCTTGGCTTGGATTCCTGGTTAAGGGCACATTCCTGGGTTGCAGCTTAGCTCCCCGGGCCAGTGTGTGTGCAGGAGGCAACGTGTAGATGTGTGTGTCTCTCTCACATCGATGTTTCTCTCTCTCTCCCCTTCCACTCTCTCTCTCAAAAAAAAAAAAAAATTAATAGAAAAAATATGCTCAGGTGAGGATTGACTAAAATAAATAAACATAGAATTACCATATGATCCAGCAATTCCACTTCTAGATATATACCCAAAGAACTGAAAGCAGGCACTTGAACAGATATTTTTTGTACGCTCCTGTTCATAACAGCATTATTCACAACAGCTATAAGATGTTAACAGCTCAAGGTTTCAATGATGTATAAATAGGTAAAACAAATGTGGTCCACACATACAGTGGAATAGTATTCAGCTGTATAAAGGAAGGAAATTTTCACACAGGCTACAACATGGGTGAACCTTGAAGACATTATGCTGAATGAAATAAGCCAGCCAAAGAAGGACAAATATCATTAGATTCCAATTATATGAGGTGAAAATTACAGGGGCAGAAAGTGAATGGTGGAGCCAGAAGCTGGGAGAGGGGTAGACGGGCACAGAGTTTCAGTTTGGGAAGATGAAAAAGTTCTGGAGATGACTTGCAGTAATGATTAAACGGTACACTTAAATGTTTTACAGTTAAAAAAAGACTTTCAAACTTATACTCAAGGGGTTAAATAAATACTACTTTCATCTGACAGAAAAGAAGTATTTCTCCATTAATCTTTATGTTTACGAATAGGACATGGTATATAAATGCAATGAAATACACCAGGTCCTTGAATGCCTTTTTGTTCAACACTATTTTGTTATAACATAAAAAAACGTTATCAATTAGCCTGTGATAAAACTGCATTCATTATACCTTGTTTTGCTTCAAGTTGCAGAATCTATCCACAACTGTTAAGTGAGGACTATCTTAAAGAACAACCTACAAAACATACTTCTTCATGAAAAAGGCAAGGTATCTACAAGTGCAGGGAGCTTGTTTATGTAGGAATGGTGTATTATAGTGTGTGTGTGTACACATACACTCTAGGTCACACAGTAAGTTAGAAAAGTTATTCAAAGAAATGAGTTTACAAGATTGGCTACTTGTTTGAAGGTCTATATTTTTGAAGTACAGGGTGAGTTTTGAAATGGCTTTTCCCATTTTTAGTTTCAAATTTTTATTTTTTTTAGAGAGAGACAACGATTTGTTGTTCCACTTATTTATGCATTCATTGGTTGATTCTTGTGTGTGTCCTGACTGAGGATTGAACCCACAACCTTGGCATATGGGAACAACACTCTAACCAAATGACCTACTTAGCCAAGGCAGGCATTTCCCCTTTGTAATGCTTTCCTTTTTTTTTTTTTATCCTCACCCGAGAATATTTTTTTTCCATTTTTTGTACAGATAGAGTGGGAGGGAGGGAGGGAGAGAGAGAGAGAAACATCGACGTGAAGGGACACATCGAGTGGCTGCCACCCGCACGACCAACCAGGGCCGGGGACAAACTGCAACCGAGGTACATGCCCTTAGCGGGAACCGAACCCGGGTCTCTCCAGACCGCAGGCCGACGCTTTAACCGCTGAGCCAAACTGGCCAGGGCCCTTTTTTTTTTATTATCCTCATCTGAGGATACTTTCCTATTTATCTTCAGGTAGAAAGAGAAGGAGAAAGAGAAACTTCAACGTGAGAGGGACACATCAACTGGATGCCTCCTGCATGACCCAACCAGGACCGGGGACTAACTGAAAGCTAGGTATGTGCCCTTGGCTGGAATCCAACCACAACTCATTGGTCCAGGGGCGCCGCTCTACCACTGAACCAAACTGGCCAGGGCTGTAATGTTTTCCTTAAAAAAGTTTTAGGTCAGCCCTGGCCAGTTTGGCTCAGCGGTTAGAGCGTCGGTCTGCGGTCCAGAGACCTGGGTTCAGTTCCCGCTAAGGGCACGTACCTCGGTTGCAGTTTGTCCCCGGCCCTGGTTGGGTTGTACAGGTGGCAACCACTCGATGTGACCCTTTCACGTTGATGTTTCTCTCTCTCTCTCTCTCTCCCTCCCTACCTCCCTCCCTCTCTCTCCCTTCCACTCTACCTGAACAAAAAATGGGAAAATGTCCTCAGGTGAGGATAAAAAAAAAAAAAAAAATTTAGGTTAGCCCTGGCCAGTTTGGCTCAGCGGTTAGAGTGTCGGCCTGCAGACCAGAGATTCCCGGGTTTGGTTCCCACTAGGGGCATGTACCACGAAAGAGAGAGAGAAAGAGAGAGAGAGAGAAATTTAGGTTAAAAACCCACTATACAGCCCCTGGCCTGCTTCCAGATTTGATCCTTGGTCAGAGCACATACATGAATCAACCAATTGTCAGGCTGGTGTGGCTCAGTCCACCCATGCACCAAGAGGTCTCTCGTATCAATTAAAAAATTATTTATTTATTCTTTTAATCCTCACCCAAGGATATTCTTCCATTTACCTTCAGATAGAGTGGGAGGGAAGAAGAGAGAGAGAAACATCCTTGTGATAGAGCCACATCCACTGGCTGCCTCCCGCACGACCCCACGGGGCTGGGGACAAACCGCGGAGGTACATGCCCTTGACAGGAATTGAACCTGTGACTCTTTGGTCCGCGGGTCAACGTTCCACCCTCCAACCGCTGAGCCACACCAGCCAGGGTTAAAAATCTTTTTTAAAAAGCCAATGTGGCCCTGGCTGGCGTGGCTCAGTGGTTAGAGCATCGGCCTGTGGTCCAGAGAGACCCGGGTTCGGTTCCCGCTAAGGGCATGTACCTCAGTTGCAGTTTGTCCCCGGCCCTGGCTGGGTCATGCGGGTGGCAGCCACTCGATGTGTCCCTTTCACGGCAATGTTTCTCTCTCTCTCTCCCACTCTATGTGAACAAAAAAAAAAAAAGTCCTCAGGTTGAGGCTAAAAAAAAAGTCAACTGTGTATAGTCCCCATAAGTGTATGTTTAAATTTAATGTCTATCTCTGAAAACTATATATTTTTGTAAAAGGGTGTAGCAGGTAAAAACAGCAGGGAAAAGCCAAGAATGAATTCTTATGTGTGTCTTACATAAAACAACTTAGCAAGAGACTGACAGCGAGAAACGAGGCTCTCTAGATTTCTCCAGGATGCCTCATAAACTTTTAATAGTTTCTGACCTTACTTCTGTACAAGAAAAAGATACTGTATAAGTTTTTAAATGTTCACTTACTCCTCAGAAGCTTTTCCGCTGTTTGCCCTGGTATAAAACACTCAGACACCACTCAGCTGGTGCACAGCCTAAAATTCGAACCACTGTCCCTCTCTGAACCGCGACTCTCCTTCGTTACTAACACAAGCCGTCACCGGCAACCCCCTGCGGGCTTCCCAAGGCGCTCTTCTCCGCTTCGCCGGCTCATCCTAGCTGTGCGTTCACCTGCCTTTTGAGAAAGCAGACACCAAGTCCGTGCTCAGAAACCTCGGCACCGGACGCCACCACGGCCACGGTCTCCGCGTCCAGACACACCCGCAGGCGCCGGCGCCCAGCCTCCTGCGGCACCGCCGGCTGCGGCCGACACTGCGCCGCGGACACGCGCCCATCCCCCCGGCGTCGTGCCCCTGCACCTGAACACGTGTGGCCGCCAGAAACAAAACACAAGCCCTGCGCTTCCCGGGCGGGCGACGGACCTGGGAGGAGGGGCTCGAACCCGCAGCCTCCCGGCGCCCCGAGCCCCGAGCGAGGCTGAGCGGCGCGCCCCGCGGCGGGACACACCTGTGGCAGGACGGAGTCACTTCATCAGGACGCGCGCACGGTCCCCCAACGGCCGCGGCGCACTTCCGCTCAAGTTTAAAACCCTCAGCGCTCGGATGACAACTCAGTGCCTCCGGTATTTTTAGCTGCCGGTAAAGGGACACCGGGCGACCGCTGGCGCGCGTGACCCCTGGGAGCACCAGCGGGGCCGCGCGGAAGAGCTCCGGCTCCGGGCCGCACGGCCAGAGAGCCAGGGACCCGCGCGTCCCCACCGAGCGCCGCGTCCCGTCCACACGGCGCGCCGCTAAGCACTCGGATTCGCTCCCGGCGCCGGACGGGCTGCCGCCCGTCCAGGCCGCCTGGCCTCTGCCCGCCCGCCGCAGCCCACCCGCCCCGCCGCCGCCGCCACGCCGCCCTCACCATGGTCTCGGCCGCTCCCGCCCTCACTCCCGCCGAGCCGCCGCCGCTGCTCCCGCAGCACCGACCCCCGCCGCCGCCACCGCCGGAGCCCGGACAATAACCGGGACCCGCCTCGCGCCGCCCCGGCCAATGGCCGCTCGCTTTGCTAGTTTGAACCCCAGCGGCGGTCCAATCGCGTGTGTCCTTCTAGCCCGCCCCCGCCCCCGACACCTCCTCTCTAACGGCTGTTTGTTTCTGCACACGGCACGTGGGGGCGGGACCTCCAGCCTCAACACAGACGCGCTGTGCGCGAGAGGGGGCGGGGCCACGCGGCTCTCTCCGCCTGTGTCTGCTGCCGAGCCTAACGAACGGAGGGATGGGCCAGTGAGGGCGGGCGGCTGGCGGAAACCAGCCAATAAGAACATCGCCCGCGAGCACGGGAGGCGGGCGGTCAGAAACGACAGTGGGATTAACCAATGGGAAGCGACTGGAGGTTTTTCCGCGCATTCGCAGCGTCGGCTCTCCGGCTTCTCAGAACTGTTTGGAACCGAGCGGCCTTGGGCATTGCTCCGCCCGCGCGTTTTCAGACGCCAGGGGTTGTTGGCGTCAGCGGGACCCCTGGCGCGGCGGACGCTGCCGCCCTGCCGTCCGCGTTAGGTTAGCCCGGGGCACGCCGGGAGAAAGGAGAGGCGCGCGGCCGCTGGGACGCTGAGGACGGGAGGAGGCGGGCGTGCCCGCAGGCCGCCGGCTTCCCGGGCCGGATCTCCCCGACCCGTTTCACGCTGCCGTTCCGGCCGCGCCAGGCGGGGCGGGGCGGGCCTGCCCCGCCGTGAGGGGACCTCTGACGGGAGGAGAGGGACCGAGCTCGGGGGGCGAAGGCCGAGGCGGGGAGGGGTCCGGGAGTCGGCGGGAGCCTCCGCGCATTGGGGCGTGGAGCACCGAGCCGCGCCGAGCTGGCCCGAGGCGGACACGCAGAGGGGGCGCTGGGCTCGGCTGGTCCCCCCACCGCCCGCCTGCGGCCGCAGCCGGGGCGCCTTCCTCCACGGCCCCCAGGTTCCTGAGCCCAGGTCTGCCCGCCGGTGACGCAGCGCGTGGAGCCCGCGCGGCGCGGCTCCGTCCAGGGCGCTGCGTGGCTGCGGGTTCGGTCCCGCGGTCGGGGGTGGGGTGCGGGAGGCAGCCAGTGGATGTGTCTCCCTCCTTCTCTCTCAAAGTCAATAGGAAAATGTCCTCGATGAAGATTGGCAACAAAACAATCAGTAAATAGTCAAATACAAGCCTTACCTTGGTCAACTTCTGGGCGAGCCCCAGAGCCCCAGAAGGTCCTGCATTCCTTGGCCCCTGCTCAGCGCGGGCGCACCCGCTTTGCTGGAAACAGTGCCCATCGCAGCTTTTCGCTGGCTCCAGGGGTGGCCCCTCAGGTGCGGTCGAGGGCTCCCCTCCGCCGCGGCCTCTCCGGAGGGGGTGCCGGCCCAGCGCGCTGCACCTGGGCCCTTAGCCTGCTCAGCCAACCGATTGGTGCCCCTGGCGCGGCTCGCTGTTGGGCCACCGCTCCTGGCTCGGACAGTACCAAGTACCCGTCCATGCCACTTGGTGAAGGAAGGGGAAGAACACACTGTTTTAAACGTTAATTGTATAGATAGAGGAAGGGAGAGAGAAACATCTCTACCGACAGGCAGAAAGCTGCCTCCTGCGCGCCCCCTGCTGGGGATGGAGCCCGAAACCCGGGCCGGAGCCCTGCGGGGAATCAAACCAGGAACCTCCTGGTATAGTAAAGGAAGCTCAACCAGCCCAATGTACTTTTTTTTTTTTTTTTAGAGAGGGAGGGAGAGAGAAACATGGAATAGAGAGAGCATTGATTGGCTGCCTCCTGCATGCCCACAACCTGCGCATGTGCCCTGACAGGGAATTGAACTGGGGACCTCTTGGTGCATGGGTCCAAGCTCAACCACTGAGCCACACCGGCTGGGCGTAATGTACTGTTTTTTTTGTTGTTGTTTTGTGTTTATGTTGTAATCTCACCCAGGACATTTTACTATTTTTGTTCAGATAGCGTGGGAGGGAGAGAGAAAACCATTAACAGTGAAAGGGACACGTGGAGTGGCTGCCTCCTGCACAACCCCAGTGGGGCTGGGGACAAACTGCAACCGAGGTTCGTGCCCTTAGTGGGAAGGGAACCCAGCTCTCTCTGGACCACCGGCGGACACTCTAACTGCTGAGCCAAACCAGCCAGGGCGCCATGTACTGTTTTAAAGCCACTGAGATGGTTGGTCTGTGGAAAGGCTTGAGTGATTCAGACTCCTTCACTCACTAGAAGTGTGAGTGACCTGGGCAACGGATTTCATATCATCAGGCCTGTTTTGTCCTTTGTAAAACTGAAAATAGCAACACATTCTACAGATTGCCATGAGCAGTATTTGGATAATGTATGAGGAAGTCCTCAGCACTGTACCAAGCTTGTGATAAATAACCAGTGAATGCTAACTTCTTGACAGGAAATTCATTTTGTCTCCACTCTTTGCCCCTCAGCCTTCCTGTCATTGATAGATATTTCAACGGAAATGGAGTTAGGTTGAAATAACTGGTTCTCATCACAGACAAGGTAGTCCCTTTACCAACTTGTGTATTCAGTTGAGAGATGGGAGAAATATATTGAGGCCCACAGACTGAAGGAAAAGGGAAATTTTCTGGCCTCTGTAAACAGAGAAACTGCCTATTAACAAAATATGTTAGTAAATAAAGTCTAGTTTGCAGTGAGCTAGGGTTTCTGAGACCGCAGTATGAGCTCATAAGGAGCACCAATCTAACCAGGGAATTTTAGGCATTAGCATTTATAAATGACAAATTACCAAACACGAATATATTATTCAAATTTGCTGGATCTAGTCTAAGGGATCTTAAGGTGTGCTGCCTAGACCAGTAGCATCAGCATCACCTAGGATTTGTTAGAAATGCAGATTCTGATCCCAAACTCATACCTACTGAATTAGAAACTGGAGATGGGGCCTTCTAGGAGATTCTGCTGTGCACTAAAATCTGAGAACCACTGGTATAGTATAAGCTGTGGTGCAGTTTCAAATATGATTTCAAAACCAAGACAGTTTAATTCTTCAGCTCCTGAGAGTGTTGACTGATCATTGGTGTGTAGTGTCTTCCAAAAAATTGTACTTTTCGCCCTGGCCGGTTTGGCTCAGCGGTTAGAGCGTCTGCCTGCGGTCCGAGAGACCCGGGTTCAGTTCCCGCTGGGGGCATGTACCTCGGTTGCAGTTTGTCCCCGGCCCTGGTTGGTCGTGCGGGTGGCAGCCACTCGATGTGTCCCTTTCACATCGATGTTTCTCTCTCTCTCTCCCCCTCCCACTCTATCTGAATAAAAAATGAAGAAAAAAAAAATTGTACTTTTTCCAAAGGAACACCATTGCCCATAGTTACACCCATTTCCAGGGGGCAGCATACCTCCAGTGATTGGTGGGTTTTTGCCTTAATCTGGGACAATTCTTTTTTTTTTTGGTATGTGCTCCTAGCAGGAACCGAACCTAGAATTCTCTGAGTCGCAGGCCGACACTCCAACCGCTGAGCCACCCCGGCCAGGGCAAATCTGGGACAATTCTGAAGGGCCCTTCCAGGTCCAGATTTTCCTGTGTGATTAACACTGCACTGCAGTTCAAATTCTCTCTCTACTTAATCCTGCTTCCTCCATTCTCTCAGTAATGTTGCCAAGAGCATTCTGCAGTAAACTTCTTGAAGGTAAATCCCCATGTAAGAGTCTGTTTCCTGGGAAACCTGACCTAAGACAGTGGCTTTTCTATGCAATTATTTAGTTAACTTTTGAGTGACTAGTAGTATATTCACATGTACAAAATATTAAAGGTACAAATCACTTCCATTTACAATAGCAACTAAAAGAATAAAATATTTGGGAATAGATTTCACAAAAGAAGCAAAGATTGGCCCTGGCCAGTTTGGCTCAGCAGTTAGAGCGTCGGCCTTCGGACCAGAGTCCCAGGTTTATTTTCCACTAAGGGCGTGTGCCTTGGTTGCTGTTCGTCCTCAGCCCCAGTTGTGGTTGTGAGGGTGGCAATCAGTCAATGTATCTCTCTCTCTTCCTCCCTCTCTCCCTCCTACTCTATCTGAAGATAAATGCAGAAATGTCCTTGGGTGAGGATTAAAAAAAAAAAGAAGCAGCAAAGACTTACATTCTTAAAACTACTACACGTTCTTGAAAAAACTAAAGATCTAAGAGAATCCCAGCTTGCTTTTTTGTAGAAATTGATAAGACCATCCTAAAATTCGTAAGGAAATGTAAGAGAACCAGTATAGCCAAAATAATCTTGAAATATAATGAAGTTGGAGGATTCACACTTCTCCATTTCAAAACTTACTGCAAAGTTACAGTGATCAAGATAGTGTGCTGGCATAAGAACAGACATAAAACAGTGGAATACATTAGAGTCCTAAGGTCATTCGATGTTTGACAATGGTGTCAAGAAAATTTGGTGGGACCCTGGCTGGGTAGCTCAGTTTGTTAGAGCATCATCCTGATATGCCAAGGTTGCCAGTTCAATCCCTGATCAGAGCACATATAAGAATCAACCAATGGACTTCCAGTCTAGATCGCAGGTAGATAAATACGGTACTCACCAAAACCACATCAGAACTGCAACTAAACTACAGAACAAACATCCTTCAGAACCGCCTGAAATCAAGCTGAATGGAAGTCCTACAACCAAAAAAATTAAAGATGAAACCACATCGAGACTGGTAGGAGAAGCAGAGGCGCTACAAACTGGTCCCACACTCACGTGTGGCAGATGAAAATCAGGAGGGGAGCCCTGGCCGGTTTGGCTCAGCGGTTAGAGCGTCGGCCTGCAGTCCAGAGAGACCCGGGTTCAGTTCCCGCTAAGGGCACGTACCTCGGTTGCAGTTTGTCCCCGGCCCTGGTTGGGTCGTGCAGATGGCAACCACTCAATGTGTCCCTTTCACATCGATGTTTCTCTCTCTCTCCCTCCCTCCCACTCTATCTGAACAAA